CGGGGGGGGGGGCGGCCCCCCCCCCCCCCTGCTCCCGCAGCCGGAGCCCACCCGTTCGGCCCCCCCGGCCCGCTCCCCACCGCACGGGTACCTGGGGCGAGGGAACCGACGGCCGCGGGGCCCCGTCTGGTCGGCGCGGCTTCCCCGAGGCGTCACCGCCCTGCCGCCTGCATGCGATCCTGCGGGCGGGGAGGGGAGCGGAGCGGTCTCCGCGGCGGTGGGTGGTGGCTGTCAGAGCCCTGCTCGGGAGGGGGTTTTACAGCGGCTTGCACCACCACACGGGACGAGCCGAGTGAACGAACTGCGGAGGAAATTAGGGCTCTTTCCCAAGATATTTGTCTACGTCTGCGCTTATTCTGCGGCACTTCCCCTCCTCGGTGGAGAAAGCAAATCATGTAAATCTGAGGTTACAAAGGAAGCTTTTTGCGACTCCCTTTATCTCACACAGATGTCGTCAGAGTTCACGTCTTGTTTCTACCCCAGCGCCTCGCAGTCCGTGTGCCTGGTGCGTGAAGCCTCAAGTATCGGTTTTGAAACAGGTACCAGCCGTCGGCACGCAGGCTTCCCCTTCCCCGCACGCTTGCGAGTTGCCCGTAAGCGTCGCATCTGCCCTGGGGGAAGCCGGTTCAGGACTGAAGACACATTGCGTGCACCTAGTTTTTTACAACAACGCTACCACGGAATAGATCGCTGGGGCCTGGAGGGAAATCTTCACATTCCCTTCCCTTTTGGCATAAGTAACTTCAGAGGGGGAATTTAAGCTCCTCTCAGGGAAACAGCCAGCAAGCAACTGTAGGAAGCAGTCGAAGCCAGATTAATAGAGAGCTACCAATTTACTAGCTGTAAATTGTTTCCCAGGTGCGCATTAATTGCAAATAAATAGAACGGCGATAGCTGTTACTCACACCTAACTGCTGCAGCCCCGAAATGATCACTTTTCGGAACGTAAGTACTGCCTGGTTGTGGAGCATTTAGCGTGACAAATGCCGTAGCTGCAATGGCAAACACTGTGTAGTGGCGGGATAACTAAGGCCATAAAAACCAGAAAAGCTAACTTGGGAATGAATAATTAACCAATATTTTGTCCAGTTTGTAGAACTTGGCAGTATTAACTGGAATCTTTGTGCCTTGATTTTCTGTTTGTAATGCTGACTAGCAAGGGATGGGTAAATGGAAGAGCTCAGTGGGTAAATGGAAGAGGCTCAAGTTTTAGCACTGGGCTGGGGGGGGGGGAATCCCCACCCAAACCTAAACCTGAGACCTTAAGACATTCTCTTGCCTGTCTGCGTACCTGTTACTGCCCTTAGAGGAAAACAAACAAAAGAAAACACAATATGTGTCTGTAGGGAATGCTTCAACGTCTATATCATAAAACTGGGGAGATAATTTTGAGGTTAAAGGCATCTTTCAACCTCATCTGAAATAATAATCCTAAAAATAAAAATACTGTCCATTTTACTAATAACCGTGGATTTCAACTGTTCTACCCACAGGGAGCAGCATATTTCACTGATGTGTTAAGACAAACAAATACTACGTGTGCTGCAGAAATTTATCCTCTGTCTTTAAAGTTCTTGA